AACTTGTTTATTTCAAACAGCGTTGCGCGCAAAGGTTTGTGGGTAATATGAGGGTCCAACTTGCCCCGAGTCAAGGGGGCCAACTAGCCCCGGGTGCACATTATTTATTTTAAAGGATGGTAGCCATTTATGGTGCTAGAATGAGCAACGATGATACATCTCTGTGAAACTTGAAACAATGAGCTTCAGTTTGATGCCCCATACATATCTTATATTCGATCAAAAGCCTATGATAATAGATTTTTAAATCTCTTAAACAAAATTACTTTTAGGTGCAAAAATCGTTTATTTCGACTCACCGCTTAAGTAAAACTTTTTAACGTCCGACACTTCCTTAGCATTGCAGGCTACGGTAACTTTGCAAGAGCATGTGGCCAATTTTTTTTTTACCTCGTAGTTACTTTTTCATAAATTGACGGGAGACCAACTTACCCCGGGGTCCAACTAGCCCCGGTCTCCCCTATTTGCAGTAGAAATGCAGCATACCCTACTGCAATTCTACTTCAAAAATTACATAGGGTTGTACAGAGGAGGACCATTAATGCAGTAGATTAGCAGCATGATAGAAGCATGTTTCAAATATGCTAATTAGCTCCCAATGCGAAGCAGATTTGAGGCATATTTGCAGTATGATTGCAGTAGTCTACTGCGCTGGAGCATCTACTGCGTTTTCGTGCGGGAACGTTCAGATGATTTCTTCAAATTTCATTTTGAGAAATAAGCATCTCTAGGAACAAATGATTTCACCAAGGGTGGCACATGGTTTAAAAAACACAGTAGATGAGTTCAGAATTTATCATAGTGTAAATCTGTTTTTGCCTTTTTTTATTTTATTTTATTTATTTATTTATTTATTTATTTATTTATTTATTTATTTATTTTGCACGGGAACTTTTAACCTATCATAGGTTAAAAGTTCCCGTGCAAAATAAATAAATAAATAAATAAATAAATAAATAAATAAATAACTTTTACATTTCAGACATTTACATAAGATTTTGTTTGTTATTTGAATCATATTTATGTGAAGTTATCCTCCACTTTACATAAATGCAGAAAGAAAAAAGAAATCGAGTTATAAATACTTAATGAAATCTAGGGATGGGATATCATAGGCAGAAGGCCTACACGCTGTGACATCAAGTCATTACAATCTGTCCAATCCATTTGATATGCAACTACTGGTATATAAATGTCCTCTTGGCTTGATTCAACATTACACATTGACAAAGTAGAGCTGATTAAAAGAAAACAAGAACATGATCAACTCGTCCAAACAAAACACTATCTCAGTTCATCAATGATATCTTGTTCCATGCTGGGTTCTACACAATATCGACCTTAACATTTTCGTTCTAAAACTAACTCCAGGAGATGGACGTTTCACATGGTATTCATTACCTAAATCAGACACCATTGACCCAACCACCTGTTCTTCTGAACACTTGTTCTTCACCTGATCTGAACCCTGGCTCCATTAAACAAGCGAGGATACAAACTCTTTACTTGCTTCAATTAGAGTGCATTCCCAGAGATTTAGATCGACCCATCCGGATCGACTTAACTCCCTGGGGGTTCACGCTAAATTGCAGTCAGCCGAGCGCGCACGACAGTTAATTAAACCCTTACAGCTTTTAGTAGGCGGGACAGACGCTTAAGCCGGCTAAGCTGACAGTAATCTAGTTAGACTTCCCACAGGGATAGATCGATCTAAAATCTGTGGGAATGGGGTCTTAGCCTTTAAACATTTTAGGTAAATCGTTCCTGTTTAGAACTTGATAGAACACAGTCAACTTAATCTTTTGTATCTAAATATGTTCGGTTGTTTTTCTTTCTCTTATATCCTAGTTAATGGAGAAAAAGACAAATAGTGAGTAAACATCTACCGTCGCTTTGACGTGGCAACAGTGTCAATCCGAAAATTTTTCAGTATGGCCACTACTGCTATTGTGTTTATGTTAGTTGGGATCTGGCATCTTGGAGGGACAAAAGATGTTGATGACACTGACTTTAATAAACTCATGGATAGGGTTCTCAGCTTGGAAAGAGTACTTCAGGCCCGGGGCAACAAGAATGCAAAATTACAGACAGATATCAAGCTAATGAAAAACGAAAATCAGCATCTTAAGGTATTGCATATAGCCAATTGTATTTATTTCACAATAATAAATTCATTTTGAAAGATCAACTTAACTTAGTGATATATTTGTCATTAAATGTCATATCCAATCAAGAATCTTCACATATGCAGGTGATGTCCACAGACATTTGCGAAAAGTTAAAAGTCATTAAAAAAAACGTGACTCATGATTTTCCAGGATTCTTTGCACAGCCTCCAGTCAATCCTAAATGATCACCCCAGTGATGAAAAGGACGTCAAATCAAAATTGCTGCCACCAATGAATGATAATCATTATCACGACGCATCTGCCACAGAGACTATTCAGAGTAGGTGAAAATTAAAATATATGTAATTATATTGTTTAATTTGAAGAAATTTTTTGTGATTTAGTATATATATGTTTGCTAACTGTTTGTCCATACCTGTTGTACTTGTATTATTAGCCTTATAACTGAATTTATAGAGGGACTCTACACAATTGATTTTGTATGGGGATCGACTGCATTTTCTCTGTACTTTGGTTCCTTTTTCATTATTTGTTACAAAATTTAACAGAAATCCATACTTTTGAAGTGATATTTTTAACTGCTTGTCTGATAAAGTTATTTTGAAGTCGCTTTACAAAAAAATTCGGTGTTTGTATTACAATACTGTTTTATTTTCCTAAAAAGCACAAAAATAAACATCATTATTAATGGCAATTTTTATATAATTCCTTTTTTTGCCTTCTTTCAGCTGTGGTGTGCCCCCAGGCATGCAGGGGACTCCCAGGCAGGGATGGCAGAGATGGTACACCTGGGAATGATGGGAATCCAGGCACAGATGGGAATCCTGGCGATGATGGGAAGCCCGGAAATGATGGAAATCCTGGCAGAGATGGGACGCCAGGCAATAATGGAAATCCTGGCAGAGATGGGAATCCTGGCAGAGACGGTAACCCTGGGACAGAGGGCAAACCAGGCAAAGATGGCAGAGATGGTTTACATGGCCAAGACGGAAAAGATCTCCAGGTGAGAAATTGGGTATATGATATTTTATTGCACAAACACATTTTCTCTGTATACATCTTGCCAACTCCTGTGCCCGTCGTCGTCGTTTTCAATGTATGACTTTATAACCCCATGGACCTGAAACCATATGGTTTATACGTTTTCCTGGAAGTATATGTTACCTGTTGAAAATGGAGGTCTTTATGTTGTTAAAATTGTGTTTTATGGCAGAAACCCATTTTTTTTATTTTTCACAAATCGGCATATCTAGTGAATAACTTTGAACTCTCATGGGATTAAAGGCCTATTTCATTACCTTATTCTGCATGACTTTGTTATCTTTGCGGCATGATTAAAATTTGGCGGTGAAAATGTTGTTGAGCATTATGTAATATTGCATCCATAATAAACAAAATAACCTATTTTTTCTTCCTTTTTTCTATATTATATTTTCACATTTAGCAGCTGTGCTGGCTTGTTTTTATTCACATGATTTGCGTTTCCTGATAATTCATTCATTTACCAAGATTTCACCCATTAAAAGCACGAAAGTTAGTGTCAAGTTTGTAGTTTCGTGTTTTTAACGATTCTTACCAACCAGAAACTAGTGCCACGGGAGATGCTCGAACGGTGACACGCTTTCAACAGTGACGACCACGGGTCGATTGAATTTTGCCATCTACCTCACCTTTCCCGCTCCCCCTCAATTGACTCTTGTTAAGCCACGTATTTTACACTTCCTTTGAATAATTCCAATTTTAGGTACAAGTAAGGGAACATAAAGGGCATTGTTGAAAATGTTCACAATAATTGATGTTTATTTTGTGTTGCTGATAGGGTCCTCCCGGTCCCGCTGGTCCACCTGGCCCTTCTATGACAGACGACAGAATCAAACAACTTATAAAAGAACATGGTAAACTTTCTTTTTCTTGTTTGAGCTATATGTATAGTTGATATTGTCCAACATAAACCTTTTTCATGTGCATAGACCAAAGCATCTTTAAAAATTATGAGTAATCGAAAAAATAAGTTTTCTGTTGAAAACGTTTTTCACATGTTCACCATCTGATATAAACATTAGAAGATGACGTTAAACAACTTATAAAATTGCAGATTGTTGATTTTTTTCTGATAGGTTTACCACGTAATACGACAGGTGGCGGATCAGTGTACACGAGATGGGGGAGAACTAAGTGTGGTGCCTCTTCTAAACTTCTTTATGAAGGTAAGAACTGCATAAGCAATTACAGTCACGTAGTTTTTAAATTGAACCATTTCAAAAAATGAAAACATAATTTTCCTGGGTTGTTAACCCATAATAAATTAATTAGGGTGCCATTTCATTAAGGCCTAAATCATATAACTTCCTCTTACGTATACTGCATCTACACATCGCTGTTGCCCTTTTTTATTTTGTAGGTTATACTGCTGGATCCTACTTTGGTCAGAAAGGTGGGGCTAGCAACTACGTCTGTCTCCCTCGCGACCCACAGTGGGGCAAATACCAAGATGGAATCCAGAATTCTGGCCCTGTCATTTACGGCACAGAGTACGAAATGGGATATTACTCCAATGATCCTTTCCAGAGGATCAATGTTGGAGGCAAGAATTTCAAGGACCATGATGCTCCATGTGCTGTTTGTTACACCCAGAACCGCACCAGTCATGTTATGATTCCAGCCTGGAAGACATGTCCTGCCGAGTGGACACTGGAATATCATGGCTACTTGGTTGCCCAATTCTATTCGCAATATAGAACTGAATTTGTCTGTCTTGATGAGGCTCCAGAAGCAGTCAGAGGAGGAGAAATCAACAGAAATGGTGCCCTTTTCTATGTAGTTCAAGCCAAATGTGGTCAAGCTCTCCCATGTCCGAATTATGTTGAAGGGAGAGAACTCACCTGCGTTGTGTGCTCCAAGTAGGTGAAGTGTGGTTAAGTTGTCACGCAATTATGTAACTCGTGGCAGTTTGCAACCATTACAATATCTTTATGCCATGAAGTAATGAGAGTATTCAAGACAATATTCAGAGCTCTCTCTTCCTCTCTAATAATGAGTTCTTAATATATTCAGATTGTCATTACACGGAAGGTTATCTGTATCTAGAATGGCACCAGCCAACACTGAATTGTTTGCCGATTACCAATTTTTACTGTACTCTGGTTGAACAAAAGGAAATTCGGTTTCCATTTCTGATGGGGGTGGTTAATTCAATTACATGGAATTTGATCAACAGTTTTCAGATATTTGGTTTTAACAAAAATAATACAATACTGGGCAATATTCCTACTCGTGTATGTTGATTTTTCTTATTTCTGTCATTTTTTTTTTTTTGCCTTGTTAGTGTTACGTCCACTTCACCAGACAATCAAAAACTGGTATAAGTATTTTAGAACAATGTTGCCGAATCTGGTGCAATTTATGGATAATATTTAGATTTAAGATAATTAAGCTAACGAGCTATATTCAGAACATCTGATATTGAGAAACTGAAATCTGAGAAGTAAGCAGAAAGTAAGCAGTGATTTTCTCTTATGGGATCCCTTAAATGAAAGAATGCATAGGTATATGCACCGTGCAAATTTTATGTAACTGTGAAATTTCAAAAGATTTTTTTCCTGTAATGTTACATTCAAGCAGATAATAAAAGTTTATTCTTACACCAAACTGCCGATGAATTTTTTTTATCTTTTACGATAGATATGCTGAGTTCTTTAACATTTAGGTAACCCTACATCGATGATGGGTTTATGATTGTAAGAAAAGTACAGAGAAGGGTCCCTGCCTGCCCTATAAAGTTGCCATGTAATTTTTCTCCTTTTTTGCCACATGACACGCAGACGTGGTTGTATTCTATGCACTACGTACAATGGATTTATTTTAGCAATTCAAGTTTTTGCACCCCCCCCCCCCCATCAAACGTTAAGCATTTTGATTATCTGACTTGAAAAAATATTTAATTTCATTGATACATCTATTTATAACCGTTTTAGTTTAAACCATACTCTGGTTCCCTCCTCTCTACCCCAGCATCATTACACTCACTTGAATGGATAGGTACAAAGAGCAAAAAACGATTTTTTTTTTTTTTGCAATTCCGTAGATTTTCTACATGCCAGTTTGTTGCTACTGAGTGAAAAAATCAATCCGTGACTCGCAGATTCGTCTTCAATTCACAATTCATCAAAATAGTTCCAAGAAAAAATCTGATATTTGTTGTTCCGCGACAGGGTAAAAATATCAAGACCTTTCCAAGGTGCATTGCCTCTCAATTCACTGTACAAATTTTATGCTCACCAAGGGCCCTACTATAATAACTTGGCCGTGAAATCTGCTGCATGCTTTAGAGTTTATTATAAGTTATGCTTACTAGGGGTCAAGACCTTTCCAAGGTGCATTGCCTCTCAATTCACTGTACAAATTTTATGCTCACCAAGGGCCCTACTATAATAACTTGGCCGTGAAATCTGCTGCATGCTTTAGAGTTTATTATAAGTTATGCTTACTAGGGGTCTAGATATAAAGTAACGCAGCCCTGAATCTTAGCCACAGACTAAATCATAATAAGACATGAACGCACTTATCAGAAAATAATGTTATCAGTTTCCAGTCTGATGAATTTCAAATCATTAAAGTTATTTATTCTGTACATTTGACCAACTACGTGAAAAACGTTCGGATGATTTCTTCAAATTTCATTTTGAGAAATAAGCATCTCTTGGAACAAATGATTTCACCAAGGGCGGCACATGGTTTAAAAAACACAGTAGATGAGTTCAGAATTTATCATAGTGTAAATCTGTTTTTGCCTTTTTTATTTTATTTCATTTATTTATTTATTTATTTTGCTCGGGAACTTCTAACCTATCATAGTTGACTCTATAGATGCGCTTTTGCTCTAATTCATTTATTTCATATACATGTACAATCAACATAGTGATTATAATGAATCTTTAAAATATTTCTAGACATGGTATCTGTTAACTTTTACATTTCAGACATTTACATAAGATTTTGTTTGTTATTTGAATCATATTTATGTGAAGTTATCCTCCACTTTACATAAATGCAGAAAGAAAAAATAAATCGAGTTATAAATACTTAATGAAATCTAGGGATGGGATATCATAAGAAGAAGGCCTACAAGCTGTGACACCCAGTCATTACAATCTGTCCAATCCATTTGATATGCAACTACTGGTATATAAATGTCCTCTTGGTTTGATTCAACATTATACATTGACAAAGTAGAGCTGATTAAAAGAAAACAAGAACATGATCAACTCGTCTAAACAAAACACTATCTCAGTTCATCAATGATATCTTGTTCCATGCTGGGTTCTACACAATATCGACCTTAACATTTTCGTTCTAAAACTAACTCCAGGAGGTGGACGTTTCACATGGTATTCATTAACTAAACCAGACAACACTGACCCAACTACCTGTTCTTCTGGAAACCTGCTCTTCACCTGAACCTGATCTGAACCCTGGCTCCATTAAACAAGTGAGGATACAAACTCTTTACTTACTTCAATTAGAGTGCATTCCCAGAGATTTAGATCGATCCATCCGGATCGACCTAACTCCCTGGGGGTTCACGCTAAATTGCAGTCAGCCGAGCGCACACGACAGTTAATTACCCCCTTACAGCTTTAATTAGGCGGGACAGACGCTTAGGCCGGCTAAGCTGACAGTAATCTAGTGAGACTACCCACAGGGATAGATCGATCTAAAATCTGTGGGAATGGGGTCTTAGCCTTAAAACATTTTGGCTAAATCGTTCCTGTTTAGAACTTGATACAACCCAGTCAACTTAATCTTTTGTATCTAAATATGTTCTGTTATTTTTCTTTCTCTTATATCCTAGTTAATGGAGAAAACGACAAATAGTGAGTAAACATCTACCGTCGCTTTGACGTGGCAACAGTGTCAATCCGAAAATTTTTCAGTATGGCCACTATTGCTATTGTATTTATGTTAGTTGCGATCTGGCATCTTGGAGGGACAAAAGATGTTGATGACACTGACTTTAATAAACTCATGGATAGGGTTCTCAGCTCGGAAAGAGTGCTTCAGGCCCGGGGCAACAAGAATGCAAAATAACAGACAGATATCAAGCTAATGAAAAAAGAAAATCAGCATCTTAAGGTATTGTAAATAGTCCAGTGTATTTTTTTCACAATAATAAATTCATTTTGAAAGATCAACTTTACTGATAGGTGATATATCTGTCATTAAATATCATATCCAATCAAGATCCTTCACATTTGCAGGTGCTATATTTTTTGCGAAAAGTTAAAAGTCATAAAAAAACCGTGACTCATGATTTTCCAGGATTCTTTGCACAGCCTACAGTCAATCCTAAATGATCACCCCAATGAAAAGGACGTCAAATCAAAATTATTGTCACCAATGAATGATAATCATTATAACGACGCATCTGGCACAGAGACTATTCAGAGTAGGTGAAATTTAAAATATATGTAATTATATTGTTTTATTTGAAGAAATAATTGTGGTTTTATATATGCACTTTGCCGGTAATGTCCAAATCCATACCTGTTGTACTTGTATTATTAGCCTCATAACTGAATTCATGATTTTGTAGGAGTATCGACTGCGTTCTTTGGTTCCTTTTTTATTATTTAATACAAAATTTAACAGAAATCCATACTTTTGAAGTGATTTTATTTTTACCTGATTGTCTGATAAAGTTATTTTGAAGTCGCTTTACCAAAAAATTCGGTGTTTGTATTACAATACTGTTTTATTTTCTTAAAAAGCATAAAAAATAATAATCATTATTAATGGCAATTTTTAAATAATTCCCTTTTTGCCTTCTCTCAGCTGTCGTGTGCCCCCGGGCATGCAGGGGACTCCCAAGTAGAGATGGCAGAGATGGTACACCTGGGAATGATGGGAATCCAGGCACAGATGGGAATCCTGGCGATGATGGGAAGCCCGGAAATGATGGAAATCCTGGCAGAGATGGGACGCCAGGCAATAATGGAAATCCTGGCAGAGATGGGAATCCCGGCAGAGACGGTAATCCTGGGACAGAGGGCAAACCAGGCAAAGATGGCAGAGATGGTTTACATGGCCAAAACGGAAAAGATCTCCAGGTGAGAAATTGGGTATATGATATTTTATTGTACAGACACATTTTCTCTGTACATCTTGCCAACTCCTGTGCCCGGCGTCGTCGTTTTCAATGTATAACTTTAAAACCCCATGGACCTGAAACCATATGTATTATACCTTGTCCTGGAAGTATATGTTACCTGTTGAAAATGGAGGTCTTTATGTTGTTAAAATTGTGTTTTATGACAGAAACCCATTTTTTATTTTTCACACATCGGCATATCTAGTGAATAACTTTGAACTCTCATGGGATTAAAGGCCTATTTCATTACCTTATTCTGCATGACTTTGTTATCTTTGCGGCATGATTAAAATTTGGCGGTGAAAATGTTGTTGAGCATTATGTAATATTGCATCCATAATAGACAAAATAACCTATTTTTTCTTCCTTTTTTCTATATTATATTTTCACATTTAGCAGCTGTGCTGGCTTGTTTTAATTCACTTGATTTGCGTTTCCTGATAATTCATTCATTTACCAAGATTTCACCCATTAAAAGCACGAAAGTTAGTGTCAAGTTTGTAGTTTCGTGTTTTTAACGATTCTTACCAACCAGAAACTAGTGCCACGGGAGATGCTCGAACGGTGACACGCTTTCAACAGTGACGACCACGGGTCGATTGAATTTTGCCATCTACCTCACCTTTCCCGCTCCCCCTCAATTGACTCTTGTTAAGCCACGTATTTTACACTTCCTTTGAATAATTCCAATTTTAGGTACAAGTAAGGGAACATAACCTTCGTGATGTATACCCCTGTATGTCACACACACATGTGGGTTGATTTGTGGCGCTGGGAAGTTCTCATTTGGAAGGCATTGGAGATATATTTATTATAGAGTTTGTAAGACGTTTACTTGAGTAAAATGCTGAATGTGAAATAAAGGGCATTGTTGAAAATGTTCACAGTAATTGATGTTCATTTTGTGTTGTTGATAGGGTCCTCTCGGTCCCGCTGGCCCACCTGGTCCTTCTATGACAGACGACCAAATAAAACAACTTATAAAAGAACATGGTAAACTTTCTTTTTCTTGTTTGAGCTATATGTATATTTGACATTGTCCAGCATAAACGGGTTTCATATGCATAGACCAAAGCATCTTTAGAAATTATGAGTAATTGAAAAAAAAGTTTTCTATTGAAAACGTTTTTCACATGTTCACCATCTGATATAAACATTAGAAGATGACGTTAAACAACTTAAAAAATTGCAGATTGTTGATTTTTTCTGATAGGTTTACCACCTAATACGACAGGTGGCGGATCAGTGTACACTAGATGGGGGAGAACTAAGTGTGGTGCTTCTTCTAAACTTCTTTATGAAGGTAATTAAGATTTACAAAAAAAATCTTTACAAAAACTACAGACAAACGATTTATAACACTGAGGTTTAAAACGATAAGTAATTCATTCTGCTTATTAATACGCAATAACTAAATCCATCTGATATTTCATTTTAGCCTAAAATACATGACGTATTCCTAATACATGTATTAGTAGTCATGGCATTGCGTCTTCTAATTTTGTTTTGTAGGTTATACTGCTGGTTCCCATGCTTGGCATCAAGGTGGCGCTAGCAACTACGTCTGTCTCCCTCACGACCCGCAGTGGGGCAAATATCAAGATGGAATCCAGAACTCTGGCCCTACCATTCACGGCACAGAGTACGAAATGGGACACTACTCCAATGATCCTTTCCAGAGGACCAATTTTGGAGGCAAGAATTTTAAGGACCAAGATGCTCCATGTGCTGTTTGTTACACCCAGAACCGCACCAGTCATGTGATGATTCCAGCCTGGAAGACGTGTCCTGCCGAGTGGACACTGGAATATCACGGATACTTGGTTGCCCAATTCTATACGTCTTACAGAACTGAATTTGTCTGTCTTGATGAGGCTCCAGAAGGAATTAGAGGAGGAGAAAAAAACACAAATGGTGCTCTTTTCTATGTGGTTCAAGCCAAATGTGGTCAAGCTCTCCCATGCCCAAATTATGTTGAAGGGAGAGAGCTGACCTGCGTTGTGTGCTCCAAGTAGGTGAAATGTGGTCAAATAACACGCAATTTTGTGACTTGCAACAGTTTGGAATCTTTAAAATATTTTTTTCACCATTGGGTCATGAGAGCTTCCCAGCTAACTCAGAAAGCTATTTAAACGTTGCTGTGACGTTTTTTTTTTTTTCTTTCCTTCTTTCTGTTTTTTAAAGTTATCATGATGATGCATCTATGAAGTTCTACTTTAGGATCACCATTATGATAACTTATTAATTTCTTAAAGATCTATATGGTTTTTGATTATGATTATATAAACGTTATGGTAAAGTTATAAAAACGTTTTGTGTATGTTGGGATTCGCCACAATATCCAGAACGTTTTCTGTTTCTCTTTCTTCTTTTCATCTTTCATTCTTGTGCTCTCTCTCTCTCTCTCTCTCTCATATTAAGTTCATACTGTATTCAGATCCATAACCTGGTATTTTAGACGCCATGCTGCTATCATTCCAGAAAACAATACAAGTAAAAGGCAATAATAAAATCACGCTAAATATCATTTTCTCGCAACCCGATATAATGATACATGTATATCTGACCCTTAGTGTTTACATACAGCACCTGGAAAAAAACTTAACACGGCATAATGTTGTGAAGGATGTAAAGAATGATAAGCAAACATGCGGAGTAGTTATTGTTATTAAACGGAATGTCATCTGTACCCAGACTTGCGCCAACATTGAGTTGTATGCCAAATTTACCACATTTTACCGTGCTCTGGTTGAGCAAAATAAAAGTCGATTACCACTATTCTTTTTTAGTGGAGGGACCATTTAGTTATTTCAAAAACGTAAGTTTGTCCAACAATTTTAGTTATTTGACTTTTACAAAAATTTATACAATCATGGCCAAAATTCTTACTAGTGGGTTCTAATTTTGATAATTTGACAGTGTTATTTTGCGCTTCACCAATCGATTAACATATTTTAGAACTATAATGTTGCATAGTCTGGTGCAGTTTATGGACAATATTCAGATTTAAAAAAAATTAAACAAAATTAAGCTAACGGGCTATACTCAAAACATCTGATATGGACTAACTTAATGTGAGAAGTTTCCATATATTAAGCAATTATTGTCTCTTATGGAAACTCTTAAATTAAAGAATGTAAACATTGTGCAAACTTTGTTAGTATGGAATTTCAAAAGATCATTCAACTGTAATATCACTTTCAAGCAAATAATAAATGTTTCTTTGAGCACTACTTTGCCAATGACATTCATCTTTTACCTAATCTATATAAAGTGTACTAGAATAATGAGGTTACCCTTCAACGATGATGGATTTATGATTTAAAGAAAAGTACAGAGAAGGGTGGAATAATCTGCATGCACTATAAAGTCGCCAGATCATTTTTCTCCATTTCTGCCACATGACACGCAGACGTGGTTGTTTTGTATGCGCTATGGATTCATGTTACCAGTTAATATGTTTGCAACTCCCCCCCCCCCCTCCCAACCCCGGCCCCAGAAAAAGAGATTTTTAATCATGACAAGACAATATTTTACATTATTTGATTGACAGATCTTTTGGCGATCGTTTTCATTCAAATCATACTGCAGTTCCCTCTTTCTCTACTCCCCTGTTCATTCTCCAATATCGTCACCGTGCCACTTTGTTGCCACTGAGGGAAAAACTAAATCCGTGTCACGAACGTAAATGAATCTTTTGATTCATCTTCAGCTCAAAATTCATCAAAATATTTTCTGGAAAAAAATCTGTTTTCAATCACATTTGTCAAAATAACAAGATCTTACCGATCTCGCAATACACTGTTCTTATTCATGCTCACTAGTAGCCCTATATAAAATAACCAAGCCATGAAATTTGCTGTATGCTGTATGCTTTATTGTTAAATTATTACTTATGCTTATTTGGGGCCTACAAGTACATATAATATACTAAAGACATGAACAAACTTATTGAAGTATTCCGTTATCAGTTTCCACTTTGATGAATTTTAAATTATTGAAATGATTCATTCTGTACATTTTATCAGCAATATGAAGATGTTTATTGCAACTGAAATCCTCAAATTTCATTTCGAGAAAATGTTTATCTTACAGGCACACAGGATTTTAACAAAGCAGTGAGGGTGACGAATTGTTCAAAAGTTGCATCGCTTAATTTTGCTTTGAAAAGGTACATGTACAATGTCATGTAACACAAAAGAAGAGCTGGGAGAATTTTATTATAGTATAATTTTTTTTTTTTTTTTTTTTTTTTTTGTTTTTTTTTTTTCGTTTTGCTCGTTATACCGTTTTTGGAAGGTAGAATGGGGAAAGGACCTTAGCAGTGCCCCCCTCTCAATCTGTTATTGACCATGTAGGCACAGGGCTTCAAAAAGTTTCCACGCTCCTATTCGAATAATAATTGTTTGTGTTACCTACTTTCCTTTGCAAAGTGCAAATATGATAGTAAAGAGGGTAACAAAAATGAAAAACAGGATATGGATTATTAGTATTCATTTCTTTATTTAGAAATCTAGTGCAAACGGACTCCAGGAGGGACAAAAAAGCAATGTGAAAAAACAGTTATGCGGTGGGTGTGGCAACCGACAGCTTTCACGTTATACAAAAGGAGTCAAAAAATTATCAACGGTGCCTATAAAAAAACAACAAATAAAAAATGGCAAGTATCACTTCTTAAACAAACAAATAAACAAAAAATTAATAAACCATAAAATGAATCTTTACTGAACTCAAAATAGTGCATATAGAATGTGTCTTGCTCAACACCACGTTGCACCTAACGCATTGACGATAACCATGTGGTTTTTATTTGTATTTCTCACAAACTATGGCAGTGGTCGAGAAGCTGGATAATGACCGATTATTGTAGAAATTGATTGTTTCGCAACGTTGGTTTAAGTCGACCAATCTTACGACGAAAATTAAATGGCCCCATGTTATTTTGATAGCGACTCTTGCCATTATATTACTGTGAGATAGTAACAATGTGCAATCTTGAACGTTGTAAAGAATTTTGCATGTAAATTCAATTGCCTGAGTCCCGAGTTGTATTGCGTGGCAGATGTTACGTTTTTTTTTTTTTTTTTTTTTTTTCCATTACGGTATTTATCTATCGGTATTTATATAAATCGTTATTTGGACGTATAAGTATGTGGCTTTATCGAGACATCATATCTATCTGTAGGTGGTTTATATTAGGACGTGGGTTTATCGGTATTTATTTCTTGTTTAGCGGCACTTGAAACCAAAGGTACTCGGATTCAACTATTTTATTATGTGTCTCTCTATATAGGTGACAGGTTTATGGGTTCATCCATTTATCGTTTTAAAAAGAATGAACAACATTCACCCTTTTCCTCTGGCGTTAAGTTTTGTGGAAGTAGTTAACTGTTACGTGGAATTAGTTTATTTCGACAAAAAAGTGAACTTCAGACATGTCTTCATGTATTTCAGCCGTGAACAGTTTCAGTCCCAACCTCTCACCCAAAATGGGACATGCCTGTTGTAATTTGCATAATAATAAGTTGCTCATCGTTAGTGAGAGCTGTCTTCCATTATAGTCACTTGGCAGTTAGACACAGTTGGGTGAGGACGCAACAACATTTTGTGTGGTGCAGTCGCAAGGTCGAGCTTTATGATGGAGTGAAAGCAAATACATCGATTTGTAAGTATCACTACTTTTTAAGTAACCTCCGTCACCGAATACAACAAATATATAGCAACTCGGCTCTTTGTAATATTAGGGCTTATGTTCATCGTTACTTGTACGCTGTATGACACTCAGAACATTAGAATTAATATATTAGTTCAAAATAAGTGTTGCAACGCTTTGGTGCATCAAACGTACAGGAGGAAAGGAGCTCTCAACTGAAGATGAAATCTTAAGTTTGCTTGAAATCTTTTTAGCTCTGCGGGATTTTTATTTCTGTTTGAACACTTTTGTATGACCTTGATCAATGAATAGGGCATTTGTGACCTTATTCAAAATGGCTGTTCACTTAAATGTAAGCAATACCGCAAAAAACAATGATTATAATGCTTGTTCAACAGTTTAAAGACTGTTCGTCCCCTCAACGTTTGCACCAATTTATGGTCAAATTCTTTCAACAATTCAAACGACTCTCTTGACAACAATTACGATGATTTTAGAGAAATTAAAATCCCTTTTATGAAAATAATTTTATGGTTAATATTGTCTCTGTTCGGTTTTTGTCCTTTTTCTAGTGTTAAACCTGTTGTTGTACATTTCTACTTTTGAAGATTTTGTGTACTTGATTAAGGTGTGCCAGCAATGCTGTGACCCTTATGTTTTGAGCTGTAAACTATTATTGCTTTTTGTTTGTTTCTTTGTTTTGTGTGTGTGTGTGTGTGTGGTTCGATTGTTTGTTTGTTTGTTTGTTTGTTTCTTTGTTTTGTGTCTTAAACAAGTGTAAGGTTTCATGTAGTTATAATAGTTCTCACATTTGTTTCAGGTGGGACTTGGGCTACCTGTTTTAATTAAGATTATGCTCTGAAAAATCTTATTGTGAGGTAAGTATGCTGTATATAACACAAAGCACACGCACAGTAGCTTACCAGTTGCTCATTTCACAATGATTAATAGAACTTTTTATACAGTTTACCTGTCGTATCTGGTGTACCGTTTGGTTAACATCCATGACAACTTTATTGAAAATTGATTGTACTGGCATCCAATTTATTTGCAATATAGAGAATTTGTAAATGAGATCTTTTGCACTTCTCGGAATCCGTCAAAATCATATACAGCCACAATACGTGTTGCATAATGATTATAGATATTATTACGTTCGATAATATCCTCTGAAATCGAAAGAAGTTGTGTTTTCAAGGTTTCATTTTCAGCAAAGTAAAATCATTAAGATTTATCATTAAATCTTCTTAGACTATAAATTTGTCTTAAGGCAACCTCGATTTCAAACATTGATACTAATCCTGAACTTAAGACAATAAACACTCTCAACAAGTCAGTTATAAGTGTCCCTCCTCTGTAATATTTACCTCCGCCAAGAGGTTATGTTTTCACCCCTGTTTGTTTGTTTGTCTGTCTGTCTTTCTGTCATTAACATAACTCAAAAAGTAATGGGCCGATTTTGATGAAATTTTCAGGAACTGTCAGAAGTTGGCCAAGAAACAGATGATTAGTTTTTGGTGGTGATCCGGATCAATAATCAGTCAATAATCAATAATAATCAAAAATTGCTGCTTTGGTGGAGGTCTGCGCTCTTGGAGTGCATTTCTAGTTAAAAATATGATAGTCGTACTTTTAAGGTCTGTCCGTGTAGTCATAATTGTGAACATCCTTTTTTTTCCAATTTCAGGAGCGCACCGAGCTACTGCACAACAGATACCTGCAAGCCACTTAGCCTTTGGTTCACATGGAGGACCTAAAAGCCCATTAATGCACCTATTATATTCAGACTTAATAAAATAATTTTTAAATTCTACGAATTTTACTTTTGATTTGAAATTATGACGATGAAGATAAAAGTGATTATAAGGGAAATAGGTTATTATATAGATGTGATAATTGTTTGAGAACTTGACGATCGTGCGATTTTTCAATTGTACCTTAAGAAATCTAAAAATGAAATTGTTTAAAAGCTTTGTTAATATGCACAATTTGTAATGAAATTTAAGCGTTTGAAATATCTTTATCCACTAAAAGAATGTCACTAAAAGTTTTATTCCAACAACCCACAATGATGCTTAAATTATAAATTTACAATATTGTATTTTGAAAATCCATTCTCAAAATTAGAGTTAAATAACCCTTGGAACAAATCCATTCGTCCTCCTGAATAACATCTATTTTCCAATTACCTTAATGTAGTACAAAGGTCCATTTTGACGTGTTCTGGCGTTTGCTACGGAAAATTGATTTAAAATTGACGACTTCTTCAATACTGAATAGAATAATGAAAAAGGGAGATATCCTGACGCAAAATTTATGTCAACAGTTTAATTTGTCCAAAAATTGAGCCTTTATTTACTGATTGTATAAGATTGACCACATTTTTCCATTCCTGTTCTTTGAAAAAAAGTTTCCTTCCTCAATTTATTTTTGAAATATACCTAATTCAATCGTGTTTTAAGGCTAATCTTATATTCTTATTCCCCATAATGTATAAGCACAGTAAAATGTAAGGTTAACTGTTAAATTTTGAATAGCAAATATTAAGGCCTAGTAGTTTTTTAAATGCTTTTCAAGTTGATATCCTTTTCTCCTCAAAACATTGCTTTTTTAAATAAATTGTCCTTTTCGTGTGGTATAGTTCCATTATAATTTTCTCCTTACTTGTTTCCTCTTATTTTTGCTTTTGATGGTGTTATGTGACAAATTACACCAACCCCACCTAACACCCCTCATTTTAATGGACTCTCCCTACCTGTCACCCCTCAAGTGGAATGGACTAGCCCAACCTGATACCCCTCCATTGGAATGGACTCACCCCACCTGCCACCCCTCCTGTGAAATTGACTCGCCCCACCTGCCACCCCTACAGTGAAATGAACTCTCCCCACCTGTCACCCCTAAGTGAAATGGACTCGCCCCACCTGCTACCCCTCCTGCAAAATGGACTCGCCCCACCTGTCACCCCTCGAGTGGAATGGACTCGCCCCACCTGTCACCCCTCCAGTGAAATGGACTCACCCCACCTGTCACCCCTCCTGCGAAATAGACTCACCCCACCTGTCACCCCTTCTGCAAAATGGACTCGCCCCACCTGCCACCCCTCNGATACCCATAGCAATGCAATCACACAAACCACACAGATTCCAAACTATAAAATGTGCTTTTTTTATCTGATAATTTTAAGGACAAACTTTAAAACAAAATATGAATAAGAGTGAAGATATTCTCAAGCGGATTCACATCGTTAAAGGACAGTGAGGAAAATCAAAGGACTTACATACGATCCATTTTTATTTGCCACTTTAAATTACGGACATGTAAAAATCGTTTTGGGTAGCGTTATTTTTTTGTACTGGAATTTAAAAACTATTTTTCGTGCTTTTTTACTCAGAGAAATCGATACCTATAAATAGTGCCCAAATAAATTAAAGATTCAAAATTTGTCATTTTTCCATTCAATTCTAAAATATCATCTATACTGTATATTTGTATATACACATTACGGTGTATGATATAGGCCGAGACGCAATGCTGAATTTTGGCAATTTGCACTGGAATGATCTGCACGCGTGACCAGAACCAACCTTGCATCTTTCTCAACGTGAACTCAATGTTTATTCAATTTGCACGACATCTAAAAGCAATTTTTTTAATCTGAAATTAAGTAATCACGTAGATAATATGTTCTGAAAATTCAATACTTATTCAATGTTTATTTCCGTCTTTGAGAGCAAACCGAAAACCGCCCAAAAAGTGCATTTAATTTATAAATTGTTCTTCAGTCTGAACAGAAAATAACACCAACAGTGTAGTTTTCAAAATTTTACTTTTACTTTCAAGTTTGAACATTATGATATGCACATACTGAAAATAACATTATGGCGTGTAAAATAATCACACAACTGTAAAATGAAATGTTATCAGAGAAAAGCTAAATGGGTTTCAAATGGAATCACATGCATCCGAGCTTGTCTCGAGGTATCCTTTTAAAAAAAAACCTGATCATCTCCTAGTGTAAAGTCTGATTATGAAAATGATTGATTTCTGAGTACAGTTTGAGTTCAATCTTTGTACACCCTTTCAATATGCTCAAATATGATACGTAGGCCTAAAATTTTTGGAAATCATTGTAAGAACATGCACAGTATTCACCATATTGCATGTGCGACAGGTGTGTGAGCGCGTGTTTGAGCGTGCATGTGTATGTGTGTCTGCGTCCGGTTCCAAAATGCGACCAGAAGAGTACCGAAGCGTCTATCAGACGCACGTGCATTTTGCAGGATCTCGGCAAAGGCTGGCAGTTCTGAAATATCAAAATAACGTTTTAAAAGCAATAGCGTAAACATCTATATAATATTCCTATGCTATAAAATTCTAACTAAGATAAATTCACTAAAATGGAACGATTTACACTCATGTTTAAAACACTGAGGCTGGCTGAACATCAAACGGAAGAAAGATCGACATGTAAATGGGTATGTAGTTCAAGTTTCAAAATTCTTCGATATTTTTCAACAAATATTTGTAAATATTGTACAGTAAATTCTATTCCACTCTAAGAGGAATGACAAGGAATACCTGGTGACAAAACCAATTCTTTTGGACAGTATTCTTAAATTAAAGACTACTGGTAACGAATGGAGCGATTCTTCCAAGGAACGGATTATTACAACACCGATTAAGGCAAACTTTTACAGTCTAAAAGGCTAATGATCTAATGCATATTTCAGTTTTTCGTGAATAGCAAATTCTATTTAATGAATGGTACCCACCCTGCTTCTATTATATGTAAAAGTATTAGGTTACTTTAAAAACTCCGAAAAAAATAGCCATTGGATTTTAAGAAATTTGTGTCATTTCAAAAGCTTCTTTTTAATTCCCTCTCGTTCATCTGCTTCAGTTGCAAACATGAAAACGTGATTTTTAAATTCAAACGAAATACAGACCAGTTTCTGATGTAGCTAGATCGAGTTAATTATCCGGCAAACTGGAAGTTTAGAACAGGCAATATAATAGGATATTACGTGTACCCGGTAATCTGAACTAGTTAAAACACCAAAGTATAAACGGCAAGAAACATCCTTGGTACAAAGAGCATTTAATTATTAGCGATAAAGAGTCTATTCTACCCACTCCGTAAACGTATGAATTAAAACAAGCTCCTGACAAATCCAAAGCTAGTTCAACCTCAAATCAGTGGCGGATCCAGAGATGTTATCTGACAGTCTTCCAAATTATCTTTGTTGCGTCATCCCCCATTTTTTACCGTCTTCCGACAGAAAAAAAAATAGATGCCCGTCAATGTAAACTTGAAAATCTGACCGTCTTCCGGAAGACCCAGAAGACGGCCTAAATCCGCCCCTGTGAATGGCAAGAAGAAAGAAGCCCCTATGCAAATGCAAAAATTTGCTCTGACAAATTATGCTGACTCCAGATTTAACTTAACGTCTTTTTATATACTTGAAGAAGAAATTTTGCTCACAAGAAACATTTTAAAGGGGACCCACCTTAGAAAGACGTTCCAACGTGCAAGCCAAATGAAATGTCCTTCTCTGCGACTTCTGCATCACTCCTATATTCTGCGTCTTCTTACAGGGTCCAACTGTCAAGTGACCAGTCAAGAAGACAGTTCTCACTGCGCTGAGCTACTTATTGTTATGTAAATTGCATCACATATGTCACATTTTGACAGAGGAGTTGCTGTTGTTATCATTATCAAGAAAGCTGCAAATATATAACACTACAAATTACATTTAATTGATAAAATGATTTTCCTAGCTCTTGCCTGGTACAGATAATTCAACCAATATTTTTTATGTGTCTTAAAACCCCTCATTGCAAATAAAAAACCTAACGCTATCCCCAGTCAACCTTTTCGGGATGTTATTGGTTTAGATAGGGAGAGTTCGCTCACCTGTCTATTGTTATGTTAATGCTATGTAATTGACTCATTCTGAGAAATGGGATATACCGGGTACAGAACCAGTAGCTGTCACCACTACCATATTTTCGTGGACTATATATAATTATAAGAAAATCACTGTAAAAGTCCTATTGTAGAGATCGTCCATACATCTATGTACTGAATTTGCGGGGTTTAATTATATTTACATGACTGGGAACTGTATGTGAAAAGATAAATGCCATATGTGCAAGACATTACAACACAATATATGAAAAAAAAAACTAATCCAACTAAATATACAAATAATTTATTGAGGTAAAATCTCAGGCGGATCCAAGAGGTTCAGAAGGTTGAAAAATTTTGAAGCTCTTTTACTTAAACATTCTGCAGATGTATTAAAATTTAACAGGTAATTTTAATTGATATAGTATATTGACCAGGGAGGCCTTTGATATGTGGCACTTTCATGCCAGTACAGTCCAATTTTGATAACACATCCATGCTTAGTTTAATTACAAGGTGAATATAAAATACATACAATGTTTTATTTCACTGAAATGTTTAATCATTATCAGATGTTTATTTCTTTTCCATCAAGTTATAGTAAGTTAAACTGTTTTGCTGTAAAACACACTTGAAAGAGATCTTCATATTACAGACAACTGATCTTGAAACTGCTTGAAAGCACCATAATATTTTTTGCTAGAAATAGTTCCTGAAATTTTTGTTTGCTTACTATAAACTAGTGCGTACGATGGGTGGATAGGTCTCACAGTGCAGGTAGAGGGTAATGAAATCCATTGGCAACAGAAAAATCACAAGTTTGAACCTAGTACAATGCCCCCTACCCCCCCCCCCCCCCCCACACACACACACACACACAATTCAGTACATATATTCTCTTTAAGCATCAAAAAGAGACTCATCAAAAGGAAGAAATCCCTGACAGTCAGCATATCCACAATGACACAGTTTTCTTAGGCTTAATACACAGTCATTTTCAGTGCTTTTTGGTTTTGGTCCAGAAGAACCAGAGTAATTAAAACTCAACTCTTCCCCAGCAAAAATGTCCCTAGAAGCAAAGAGTGCCAACTTTGGCACAGAATTGTCCACTCTCACTGGCACAATGTAAAGATTGGGGCCACAAGAATGGTTAATGAATCTTCCCACATTGCCAATCTTAGTAGGATCTATATATGTTGTTAGCACCTCATTTGGGGCCAGCTGTATATCCTCATTCACGGCCAAATGTACATGTATATTTTCATTTGGGGTGACATGCATATCCTTATTCAGGGCCACATGTATATTTCCATTTGCAGGCTCATGCCTATACTCAGTTGAGGCAACATGTTTATCATCCTTTGGGGGTGCATTACTAAGCTCAGCTTGGGCTAAATGTATATGCTCTCGTAGAACAAATATGTAGTTCATGTCTGTATGTTTTAAAGCTTTAGTCCTTCGCTTGGCCTCTTCCTGGGTAAGGACTTCCCCTGCATATTCACAAACAAAATGATCCTTGGGAATAGTTTCAAGTGCGTATAAGCCAAAACCTTTATCACTATCTGTGTTGCGAACTTGAAGCTTGAACTGTACGCCTCTTTGCACAATCCTGTTGGAACACTGAATACTGCATTTACACTCCCTATTGCACTCATACACAGGTTTATCACACAGTGATATTGCAGTACAAATTAACTGTCCCTCGTTGTTATAGGAAGGCCCAAATCTTTGAATACAAGGGCAGGTATCAGGTAAACACACTGAGCGGCAGTCACAGCCTTGAAACTGGGATAGGAAGTCCTCTGTGTCTGTCCCTGGACCAGGAATATTGCATTTTGTGTACTGTAAATGAATTAGAAAAATCATTAATGATATCATATGCACAGCATCTACATGTACATGTACCAGCAGGATCAGTCTGGCTACAAAAATAAAAAAAAAAAAAAGAGAGAGAGAGAGAGAGAGAGAGAGAGAGAGAGAGAGAGAGAGAGAAAAGGCCCAGGTGTCAAGAAATAACATATGCAATACTGTGGGAAATGGAGCATAAATTTTTATGTAAATGTATCTGAAGAGTTACTAAATAAAAAAACTCCATAGTTCAAATTGAAAATTATAACCATGGAATCTAGCTGCTGCTACTTAGTAAATTTCTGCATTAAACATTAGATTGTATTGAGTACTTTTTCCCAGATGATCATAATTTGGGTTTTTACTTTCTGATTTTTGAATGTTTTACAAGAAACTTCCAATGAAATACAATGAGACAGACAATGAGTGTTGAGGTCAGTAAACTGAGTTTGAAAGTGTCTGGTGAAAATATCAAAAGTAAGTAAGTAAACAGCCAAACTATTTCATTGTTCAATGTCACCACAAACTAAGTTTAGAAAAACATTAAAAATCAAAGACTTATTGGGTGGAAGAAAATGCAAATACAAAGGTTCCAATTGCATGTACTAGTAAATGTATCATTTTGTACTGTGTACCAGTACCAGTTCGTCTACCATTTTTGCTTCTATGAATCTATCGAGGGAATTATATATCGGATATAATTGTTATATCGAATTTGCTCAACCCTCCCTTACACCCGACTCCCTCTTCTTCAAAGTGTAATTATTCACTGTACCTGGAAGACGGGGGATCGCTCTTTTCGATCTCTCTTGTCAAGGTAAATTGGAATATTTTCACATCCTCCGCTGACATCCATGTCTCCTCTAGCACAACGCACGTTGTTTACGGAAGTGGAGCTCTCTTGCCAATAAAGTACAGAAACCAACTTCCGTTTCTACAACCGCTTGGAATTTTAACGCTTTTGTTGTGAAGAATAAAGGGGATTATTCTAAGATGTGATCTTTGCTTCTATCAAAGGTATGCGTATTTTGTGCTTTAAGTGAAATGTTATAGTTCAGTTAGTTTTCAGTAAGCTCAGGTCGTAAGATAAGTGATTTAGCATCGGACAGGCTTGGAGTTTTGAAGAAAATGACTCATTTTGCTGATCAACGAATGATTTGACAACCACAGTACAGCAGTATGCAGTGATGCATTGATCCTAAATATTTCAATTCTGTTGCCATTTTTCATCTCTCCATTATACCTTGTCGTAACTGGGTACTCTTTTCAGTTATGCCAATTTTGTTCGAAAATGTTTTCAAATGCACATTTTTAAATTTTACATGAGACGTAAAAAGCTTAGAAGAAGGCGTGGTTAGCTTCTTAAGACAACAGTTAAATATATATTCCCATCTACTTTTCATCGTTTCAGAGAGGAGAAGATGTAGAGGGGATACCATCGGGACAGATTGGTCGTGCTATCAAATGCCAGGCCAAGGCATAAAAGACAGAACATGTCCTCACTGTGCAGATTGGAATTGTTATTTCTCCTATGCTTACTGAGAGCAAGTTACTGCTATGTGCAAGAGCCAGATATACTTGATATTGTGAATGGAGGTGCTGCAACAAACAGTGAACTTTTTACACAGAGATTTAATCTGGATTTGCCTGATGTTAATGTTGTGGAAGGGCATTTGTTTCAGTACAAAATACAAACTGTGGCTTTAGAAAACAGGCGTCTTGTTGTTCAGGTGAGGATGTACACACACTCACACACATACACACACATGCTTATACATTTTTTCTGTTTGTAATTATTCTCTTGCAAAGTGACATATTTTTCACATTATAGTAAACACACAGGTGTTTCCATCAGTTACTGATTCTTACAAATAGTTACTTGTTTGAAGATTGCAGCCAGTGCAATTAGTGCCGTTGACCCTTTATATGTATATATTCTTTGAGCTTATGACAGAATTACTAGTATCATTTGGAACATATTTAGAAATTCTAACCACTTCTGTATGGAAGATTGGCATAATAAATAACTATGCATGTGGATTTCATTGTCATTTTGATATTTTAGAAAAGTTTTAATTCAATTTTGAAAAGAGCTACCGGTAAATTAACTAGTATATATAAATCTTTCCATTAATGAAATATTCAGTACTAATATAGTGCCAATGATATTTCAGTTGACAGAAGTTGGAAAACCCACATTACCATCATGGATGTACTTCAACCAGTCATCTCACACTCTTGTTGGCATACCGGTTACTGCTGGTCAGTTTTATATACAAGTAGATATAAAGGTATACACTGGAATGATTCCCAGCAAGGACATCAACAGGGGCAACAGTGATGAGCTCTGGTCAGATGCATTAGTAACAAATACTTTCAATAGGGGGCAGCACAGGACAGAGGGGTTGTTAACAAATGGATTTATAAAGAAGGAGCACTTGGTTGCCACTGATGTGTTCAGTATTATTGTCTGTGATGCTTTGACAAGTTGTCAACCAGATCATAGTCAGCAACAGAGCCTTCAAAACTTGCAGGAATCTCCAAAAATAACATCAACATCAACGCCTTCATCTTCATCGCCATCATCGTTTTCTTCATCGAACCAACCTGATTGTCCCAGAGATGTGTTTGCTTACTCTGCCAATATTGTCTTGGATGTAGCCCTGGAAAAGCTCCCCTTACAGAGAAGAATGAAGCTTTTGCAAGATTTGGCCAACTTTGTTCAAATTCGTGTGGAGAAAATAACATTAAATGAGTACATGGGAATGAGGGTGAACACTGTGAACCAAGAACTAGTTATTTTAATGGCAGGACCAGGGAATGTTCATAATGGCCTCCCCTCCTCTAGTGGCATAGGCGTCCTTATGTCGTGGCCAATCAGCTGTGGGGAGTTCAGATTTGCCAGAGACTTCAGCCAGGTCCTGGATCACAACGTGGCCGGTGGGAGAATAACCAGCGAAATTGGCTTCAATATCATTGGTTGGCATATCACAGCATTCATGCCAACAAGGTCTGGGGTCCAGAAGAAAAAACGCACAAAGAGACAGCTGAATCAGGCGACGCCATTCCCAGGCACACCTTCGCTCAGCATGGCACAGCCCACCAGGTTGACTCTGCTGTCCACCATATCTGAGACACTGAGCACAGATATGACATCTTCCCCACAACCCCCAGTACAAACTTCTAGTCCCAGTACTGTCGTATCAGTTTCAAGCCTTTTTGACAGCTCTGTTTTTTCAGCGTCATCCAGTGAGGACATGACTGTTTCTATGGATGTCAGTCCATTGTCGCCATCAACTAGCGAGTCTGTGCCAGAGGGACCATCTCAAACTGTTACTTTGTCCAGCATTATAGAGACATCTTCACTAGTTGACCAGTCTAGCGACAGCACTTTTGAGTTTTCCACTCTTATTTTGTCATCATTTGTCACTGTAGATACAACATCTACCAGCATAGACACAGTGGTGACATCTTCATCATCAGCAACAGCAACAATCTCAGTTACATCGTCATCGGTTTTTAATGTCACCACAGTAACACCAACAGTAACAACAGCAGTAACAACAGAAGAAGAAACAACAACAGAGATAACAACAACAACAACACCAGAGGCAACTACAACTGAACCTGAAACTACAACTGAAGAAGAAGTGACAACAACAGAAGCCGAGACAACAACAGTAGAAGAAACAACTACTGAACTTGATACAACAACAATGCCAACAACAACACCAATAACAACAACAACAACAACAGAGAAACAAACCACTGTACTAAACACAACAATATCAGCACCAACAACAACAGTAACAGTAGAAGATACAACCACTGTAGAAGATACTACTACAGTAAAGCCAACCACTACAACTGAAGGAATTACAACTTCAACAGCAGCAACAACTACGGAAAATATAACTGAAGCAGTGACAACAGCTACAACAAAAATACAAACTGATACAACAACAGCAAACATCACAGAGGAGTTCACCACTGAAGCAGTAACAACTCCACACCTGACAACAGAAGCTGTAACTACAACTTTGCAACCCACAACAGGAGTTACTCTGACTTTGAATACCACTGTAGAAAATACAACAGCAGCAGCACTGAGTACCACTGAAATGCTCACAACTGAAGCAGTTACAAATGTCACAACAGAGGTCACAACAATGGTGCCAGCAGTTACAACTGAAACAACTATTGCCACCACCGAAGCAACTACAACTACTCCCACAGAAATCACAACTGAGCAAATAACAACAACAACGGAATTATTAACAACTATACCAGTGACAACATCACTTACAACAACAGAGTCGATAACCACACCCGCTACCACTGCAACAACACCTTCTGAAACAACAAGTGAAGTCATCACAACTTCCACGGAAGGGGCAACTACTACTAAGGCAACAACTGAGACTATTACAACATCTGAAGGCATAACAACATCAACAGCAGCATTGACAACAACAAAACCAACAACACCAACTTCAACAACAGATATGAAAACCACAGCAGAAACAACAACAACAACAAAAACAAAAGCATTGACAACAACGTTTGAAACTATAACACCTAAAGATGAGACAACCACAACTTCTGAGACCACTACAGCTCTTTCTACTACAGTGAGCCCTACTGTTGCCATAACAACAGCCAAAGAAACAACAACAGTAATGACAACTACATTGCCACCAACCACCACTATGCAGACAACTACAGTAGAGATCACCACAGGTAATTTACTAGGCTCACTGGAAACTAAGACCCAAAATACATAAATGTACTATTGTATACGACACATTTTTATATGAGTGTCCAATTCACAGTTGAGAGCTAAGAATTCTTCTGTATTAATAAGTTAACAAAATTAATAATAACTGCAATGTGAATGGTTTTTAATGATATATTATTGATCTGGTTTTATTTTCATTTGGAGGAAAGGATTATTATACATAAGTTAAAGAAAATGATGATAAATTATTAGTAATTAATGTTGACATGAAAATAAGAAATAAATAAATAAATACCTTGTACTCACGTATTTCCAGTGCCAGTAAACCAGGCCCCCATTCTGTACAACCAGTTCGATAATCTTCGGGTGTTTCAAGGGGAGTATTTCAGCTACCTGGTACCCCGCGACACCTTCCACGACAGAGAAGATGGGGACACCAGACACCTCAATTTGTCCCTTCTGGACAGCGGGACTGGAGAAATACTTGGGCCTGCATCATGGGTTCTGTTTAATGAGCCAAATCAAATTATATATGGAGTTCCAGTTTTTGCCAATTTGTTTCTTAATCCGCAGGAATTTCACCTCATGGCAGAAGATTCTGATGGATTATTCAGCACTGAGGTGTTTAATATATTTATCAACAGTTCGAGTGTGGTGGATATATCCCATGTCTTCGTCATATCTCTAGAGGAGAATTACTTACAGTTTGTTAACGATACTCAGAATTTGATCACATTGATGCAAAAGATTGGAAAATTCTTTGGGGATTCAGACTCTAGATTTGTAACAGTTGTATCAGTCACTAATGGATCTGTGAATGTTGCTTGGAGTAACAACAGTTTCTCAAAACTAGTTTGTCAAAATGAAAGCATACACTTCCTTCTAGATGAAATAATCGACCCAACATCAGGGAACATCAAATCAAATTTCTCCGCAGCGATGCTCCCAGAGTTCAGGGTGCTCTCCGTCCAGTATCGCCCCCTAGGGGTGTGTGTGCCAGGTGATGTGCTGCCCCCTATAGTTTCTGTGGGGGCAGTTGCCATTGACAACTACTATATTTATCTTGTCACAATTATCCCAGCAGTGGGTGTGGTGCTGATTCTATTGCTCATTGGTTTGATTGTCTGCATCCTGTACAGACGTCGTAGAGACAGTGGAGACAGACTGGTCAAGGCAGACAAGCCAACATACAATGCCAAGCGTGGCAAACGAAAACCAGTCATTTTACCAGAGGAGCTCGAATTACAGGAGGTGGATCGTAAGCCTAAGAAACCACTATTCCTGTTACCTGACAGCGATCCCCTCATGGGGGGTCCTGCTGCTAGACCCCCTGCAGAGAGACCACACCCACCACCGCCACCCCAATATCGTGTGCCACAGTTTGACTTTGATTGGCCTGATCAGGGGGATCAGACCACGCCCCCACCTTCATATCACAGTGGGAGTGGGCGGGGCCCCCATAGGCCACCCCCACCTGCCTATCGCCTCCCTCCGCCCTATTTAGCTGAGCAAGGGGATTCATCAGTGTAGCCACACCCCTTTCTCCTCATAGCCTGGGGTTGGTTTCATAAAATAACTTAAACAGTAAGCTGGGCTGAACTTTAAAAAAAATCTACAATTCTGTCTACTTTTACCCTAGAGGAATGACTAATAGTCCACTGTGACTTTATTAAAATATTGTACCCGCCTCATTTACCATAGAAAGATAATTACTATGTTTCATGCAAATAGTTTTTTTCTAATGTTAGTGAACTAAAACCTGTATATCTTGAATTGAAGTTGACCAAAAATTTCAGCCAATAGTCCCATATCACTGTCCCATATAACTGAAGCTGGGTGAAACTGCATTTATTTAACAATAATGGGTACTCCTCAAGTTACTGTTTTACACTGCCTGTTAAAGCTGTTTGCTGTGGATCGTTGAAACAATACTGTTTATTAAATCCAAACTCATATTTAAGATTATTGTGGGTGCTTGTTCAAGTACCCTCTCAGTCCACATGTACTGGACACTCACCTGTAACAAACAGATCAGAATCGCTACATTGCATTTATGTAGCAGACTTCCCTTATAAAAGCCCCAGTTAGTACTATCATTATATGTAACATTCTTGATATTTATTATTTTGCCATAACACATGGTTGTATGGATTTTCAGACTCTCGGTGCCTCAATTAATTATAAAGTTTGTAGCTTTTCTTTATATTTACGATATTTGTTTACTTAATTTCCCTCCAAAAGGTCTCAAACAGCCATTGAATAAGATGTATTGAATTTTTTCAACTGTTACTTAATGTTCTATTTATGAATTTGATTGTAGTTCATAAATATCTTTTATAACATCATGCTTAAAGAATGAAAATTAATTATGTATATTCCATGAACTCTATGCAATTTTTTACATGAAAATATTTTTCTTTTTGTAGAGGAACTTTTGTATGTAACATAACAATCTGTATACTTTCTTAGATGTCCATTAAGATTTACCGTCCAATAAATATATCAATCCGATTTGCCAAATTTTCAGTTGAAATCTTAAAAGATTGGTCAAAGGAATAATCATGGGATGTTCAAATATAAAAAGGTATTTCAAGATGATATAATTTTTAATTTACTGTATTGTCTTTTTCCAAAGATATTTAATTTTCAATGCAGTAGCAGGTAATGCAGTAGCAAGTAATTTAACAAGCAAAATGCTTCAATGTGAAGATTTATTTATAGATTTTATTTCATTTTGCATTTATGATATCAATTTTTTGTTACCAACATGAATGCAAGAACTGGTTCTAAAAGTTGTGTGCATTTTGCATGCTTAAACACGTTTCAATATCTCTGTTAACTTAGAAATGAAGTGCCTTTTTACAGGGCTGACATTTCTTCTTTATTAATAAAAACTTATAATATTTAAAAATATGTGGTTTATTTTGCTGTAATTCTGCCAGTTAATTCTACAAAAGACCACTTCCATTTTGTCCCAATCACTGTTGAAAACAAAATCATTTATTTGCACCTATTTGGTAGATGCACTTTTTTCAAACATTTCTCTGGGCTTTGCTCAAAACTGTTGCTATTGGCTTGTTTGTCCAACTTTGTTTAACATCCCAGCTCAATTACTTAGTTATATCAGAGTTCATAATCCATCAAATTCCTTCTTGCCTAGATCCATCACTGTACATCAATAATCTGAAACTCTCTAAACCAACAGGTTTCTTCTCTTACCATGATACTTGACACTTTCTCATGAACACATGCAGCGGTGTCTGGACCAACAGCCATCACCTGTGGAGTCTGGCGCTTTTCTTTTTCCTGCTTTGACTGGTAAACATTGTTGCTGTTTTAATTACTCACTGTCTTAAAATACTACTAGATTTCACAACTGAGCAGGATAAAATCATTCCTTATATCAGTCACTTTGTTATATAATTTTGGCATTGTTTTTACTCAGTCAGAAGTACACGGCTCAGACTGTCCTGTGAGTCAACCAAGATGCCATGTAATACCCAAACTTTAGATTCTAATTTAAGGTATAGATGGCAGCAATATCCAAGTTATTCTGTTAACCAGAAGTTGGCTCTGGTAAGGCCAGGTTATGTCTTGTGTCAAATACAAATAGCAATCATTTTTTGTCTTAAGTCATCATATAACTATCAACTTGTCTTTAACTTTGTGGCAGCAGTGCCTTTGTTTTGTGGAAAGTTTCCATCTGGTGCATTTCTGAAAAGTAAAAAAAAAAATAATAAAAGAAATAATGATTATATATATATATATAGATATAGATATATAGATTTTTTTTTTTTTTAATATCACCTAGTATGATTACTTTCCAACAAGAAATCTCACCAGGATAATAAACTTATATTATATAAAAGCCAAAAGCTCACTGTGTGCTTTTAACCAGCTTTCAAAACTAAGGAATTTCAATACACAGGCATGGTATTCTGTTCACAGTGGTAAACCTCTTCATCAACCTAAATTATTTCTCCTTGCCCTTACAACTCTGCTCTCAAGAGTATGTAGTCTAACAGTTTTACTAAATTAAATTTTAAATTTACCAATATTAATTTTAAAATCAAAATAGATTTTGAAAATGAATTAAATAATTATAAAAAATAAAATCTAAATCATTTATTTAAATTAAAATTAAATTTTTTTTTTTACTTATTTTACCACTTTTTCCTTACCCTTGCAACTCTTCTTTTAGATGAATGTACAGCTCAGCTTGTGGTCCATCACTTTCCAGTCTCCCATCAAATTCTTTGTGTCTCTTGGTACTTTGGCTCTTCAGTCTGTTTGTCCACAAACTCAGTAGCGACTGAGGCCCTAAAAATGACATTAAATAAACATTACATTATATTTCTTTTACCACATAATCGGAAAGAAAGGCTTGGAAAATCTGATAATAAATGGAAAGATCCGGGGCAAGAGAGGCTGGGGCAGAGAGAGGATGAGATTCACAGAGAAAATATGCTAGCAAAAGTCTCAACAACACATCTCATTCACTTAGCAGGCAACAGAGAAGACAGGGTAGTCATGATTGTTTATGTCTGCTCCAGACCTGACACATGAACAGGGATGCTAGTGGGGTCCGGAAA